AGTTTAGACTATAGCTCGTATGCGCATTTCCCCAAAATTGGATTCTCTTTCTATCCCGGCATAATATTGTCCATTCAATGGGGCTCCTAAAACAGGGCCCTCGGTTTTTGGAAATCCCCCTGAGGCAGTCACTGGGTGTGCATGATCCCCTAATGAGAGTAATTATCCCTATAAATTCTAGGGCCTGAGGATCTGCCAGCTTGGATCTTGAGATCTGGAGTCACAGAACTTGAAATAATCACCAATATAATCCCAGTTTCCATTTCATTTTCCATTTTCTTTTCCATTTGATTCTCCACTATGGAGGTTATTAAGGGGGGGTCAACAACAACTAGGCAACAACCAACACCGAGCTAAGGTTCAAACTGATATGGCTCTGGCTGATGCCAGTAAAACTATTGGGGTAACATTAGGGTAATCTTGGGGTAGTACTCGGATAATGGAAAAGAAAATGGAAACTACAGGGATCATTACCACTGCAAATCCCTATAGCAGTCCATGTACAGTCCCCTAGAATGCTAAATTTTAGGTCCCCTCCCCCACTTGCCCCGAAGCACCAGCAAGGCTTTGCTTGCTGTTGAAACAAGCTCGCTTTCCAGGCTCCAGCGTTTGAGCTGGCAGATGTGGTAGTTTCCCTAAATAGGGGGACCCTAATATAGACTCCAAATTACTATAATACTTATTATGGGGACCCCCAAAAGGTACCCCTAATTTCAGGAACCCCCCATGTGTCTAGCCTCTACCTACAAAACATTCCAGGGCGGGGCTTGTCACACAAGCCTGGATGGCGGGTCATGGTGCTTGTTATTACTATTATTATTAGTACTATGATTAATCTTATTATTATTTGTAGTCTTATTTTTCATTATTATTGTTATTAGTATAGTTTCCAACAATATCGAGCCTCGGATGTCGATTGTTGCCTTCGCCTGATAAGTTCTAGCCTAATTGTCCTCTTCGGGTCATGCTTCTGATGTAGCTGACCTGTCGGGGGCATTCGACGAGCCGCTTTGATGCAAAAGACTTGCAGTGGTTGGAACTGGTTCAGCTAGGCTGCCCTTTGTCATGTGTACTGTAGTCTAAACTCCTTGAATGGATTGTATAGGAGATTATATAGTATTATGGGGCTTATTAAGGGGATACTAGGAGTTTAGACTGTGGCTCATGTAGTGTTATTGGACTTTGGATGCCTGGAAAGTCAGGCTTCTCAAATGGAGGCCGCGAGCAGCTCGCCTGATGATCCTCAAAAGGCCATTCGATGGAAGGGCTGAAAAGAGAGATAAGTTTACCGCCCTCCCCCAACTCTGCTCAAATCACCTGCTACGGGGGCTAAGCTTGGGCATAACGTATAGTCCCGCTTAAGTGGATAGAATAGGGCTTTGACTATCTCATAGTAAGATCCCCATATACGCCAAATTCTATCTACTTCAGGGGGACTATACCTCCCTAAACCCTAAACCCTAAATCGTAGTTTCTATTATCTTTTCCATTTCCATTATCCCAATTTCACCCCAATATTATATACCCCATATCCTATCTACTTCAGGGGGACTATAAACCCTAAACCCTAAGCCACTGTAGGATGGGGAATAGGGATTGACCCAAAGCCTCTTATTCGTGTCTTGTTTCGAGTGCTGCAAGCATTGGAAGCCCGTTGCGAGCAGCTTCGCTCCCGCCACTCTTTTCCCGGACAAAACACAATATAGGGTTTAGGGTTTAGGGTTCAGGGCTTAGGGTTAAGGGTTAAGGGTTTAGGGTTTATATGAACTATCGTCTAACCTCCTGAAAGCGGGGTTATGTAGGGGATCTTCTAGGGGATTATAGGGGAGTAGTGTAAGGGTTATTAAGGGGGATACTAGGAGCTTAGACTAGGGCTCATATGGGGTAATATTGTAGTATATTTTGATATATTAAAGTATATTATAGTATATGATAATGTACTATAGAAATATTGTAGTATATTATAATAGGTCAACGTATCAAGAAGGGCTTTCTTCTGCTTTGCATCTCCAGGGGATGAGCGTGAGCAAGCCTTGTGCTGTAGGAGGAGAGGCCTCCAAAGCCAAATCTCTGCCGGCCGGGGCCTTAACCTGAAGTTGCGCACGATCTTCGCAAAACTATCCCTACATAACCCCAATATACTATAGTAGTTTCCATTTTATTTTCCATTATCCCATTTTAACCCTTATTTAGTGGGATAGAGGTTGAGTTTGACTCCCTTACGGTAACCCCGCCTAACCTGCTTTGTCGCATCACTGGAGTTGTCCTGGGCTGCCCTTGTGCTGCACCTGCCCCAGGCACACACGGTGTGTCTCCCCTTGAGGTTGCTGCTGAAGCAGCTGGAGGACAAGTTCCTAGCCATTGGCCGCCGTACAGAGAAGCCAAGGCAAATATCGGTCCGGCAAGATGGGGAGTTGTCTACCTATTGGCATTTTGTAGTTTGGCAGGTCAACACAGCAGGATGAAGACGCTGGGATCTCAGCATGTGCATTAAAGTAGATATCCAGAACCATCCACAAGATGAGCTTCCCTGTCTTACTACTTATTACTTGTTATCCTTTATTGCTATTAGTACTGTTATTATTGTTACTATTATTGCCCATTACAACCCCACAACTTCACAGGCTCATCAGCTTGTTGAGGCGGAGTACAGGCCAGCAGTGAGGGACGTGGCACGAATTCCATAAAAAGGCAGGAACCCATTCTAGGATCAGGCACCCTGAAAGGTACATGGTAACTTCCCAAAATAAGGGGACCCCAATATAGAATCCAATATACTATAATCCTTATGATGGGGACCCCCAATCAGGTACTCTAATTTTGGGAAGCCCTCACATATGTGCTATGTACTAGGTATAGAGGGTCTGCAGGATTTAGGGCGCATACCAGGGGCTCATGGCTTCGAACCGAATATGGGGTTCTGGATGGATGCCTCTAGAGGGTGTATGCTGGCTGGTCTTTCATTTCCAAGGGCCGACAGAGCCTGATTACGTGTAGGCACATTCTTAATGGCCTGTCTTGGAACAATGTATCCCAGTCTCCTGATGGCTCCTACATCCTGATAGGGACAGATACAATGAGGCATTTGCTACGCAGATTACTGCTGTAAACGCGATCTTAGGCAGTCTCAGTTTAACCACTGATCGCAGCGCGAAGGTGTTGTTGTTCCAGAGCTGCACACCACACCGCTCCTACGATTCGGATAGCCGGCACATGCCTGTGATCTGCTCCAGGCCTCTTCCTCACCCTTTACAACAAAAAGGAGCAACATGAGCAACATATATACCCAAGCCTGCCAAAGTGTTGGGGGGCATGAGTCTTCATCCTCAGCCAAAGCGTTGGCCATGCGGGGGAATCGCCTAGCTTTGTGTTGCCCATTTGCAGGCCGAAGTCCTTCCTGCGGCGGCGCGCCCCTGATGAGATTGAGGCCGCGATAGACGACTGTTGTGCAATCCTCAATGTGTTGCAAAAGGCTGCAAGGCCTCGGACACCGTGCACATCAAGGGGCTTATCAGATCCCAGAAGGCTTTTTGTTGTGTGCCGATTGGCCAGGCCTAAGAATCAAACCTTTATCGCTTGAGATTGCTTCGGAGCATTTTCTGGCAATGGCAAGCAAAGGCAATGAAGTTGCGGTTGCCAAACTTGAAATGTTCCGAGCCATCGGAGCCTTGGTATTTTTGGCCATGCCTGTCGAGACCGCGGTGACCCAGCTGGATCAGGGAGCTTTGACCATGGCGAAGAGGAGCCCCGCCCTCAGAGTCAACATGATTGCCAAGGCATGGAAAGCAATCAAGAGTGCAGGTTTCACCAGCAACTTGGATCTGACGGAATTTGCAGAGGCACCCGGCACTTCGTGATTTCCTACAGCTATGCTTTTGCTGTGAAACCCTAAACCCTAAACCCTAAAGCTTTTGAAGCAGGCAATTGTCAGCACTGGCACCTATGACGCGGACCGAGCTCATTCCCAAGCCAGCACTTGCGAGTCCCCTATATCCACCCTATAGGGTTTAGGGTTTAGGATTTAGGGTTTAGGATTTAGTAGTTTCCATTTTCTTTTCCATTATCTCTATATTATATATCCCCAATATAGCCCCAGTATGCTATAGTAGTTTTCCATTTGAATTTCCATTGTCCCAATTGTCCCTTGAACCTTCCTATTTTAGTTACTATGAATGATCAGAGGGTTGCTTCAAGCAAGCAGCCAGTCCGACGTCTACAAATTGTGCTGTAAGAGTTGCCGTATGTGTCGGAGTCTTGTTAGCCTCTTCTTTGCTTTCATTCGAGTGCCGCATGATGTGTATCTGAGATCTTGGCTTTCGTCAGTGGAGTCGTTGATCTCTACTTGGAGGCGCGCATGCAAGAAAAGCGGCAGGTCTCGAGTCGAATAGAACCCTAATATAACTCCAATTATAACCCTAATATAACCCTACTACAACCCTAACAAAACCCTAATATGACTTCGTGTGTCACTCCAGGTCTTTCGTTCACAGGGTGAGCGGGCGTCCGAGCGCGCGGTGAACTGGGCGCAGGACCGCCTACAGAGCCTTACATTTGCATCAGTTGCCTCCGGTAGTGCGCAACGTCGCGCTTGTTTGATACCCAGTTGACTCGAGTTCCCGTCCAGACTGCTTCAGTCCAGAATTTGATTGCAAATGCTTTGTTCATAGTTCGGTTCGGCACCTCTTTTCTGCTGCAGTTGATGAACCACTTCATCGAGTCTCCGGAGATTGTCATGTTCGAGGGAAGCGAGGCTGTGGGAGCCGAGCTTGCAAGCTTCATGGCGTGGAATTGGTTGCGATTTTAGCCGAAAGGTTTACTTTATCCTTACGATTTTTGTGGGCGCTTGTTGCGGCGTCTTCCGGCAGCTTCTTGAAGGTCTCATCCGCAATGGGTCCGAAGAGCGTGGCTGGTGCGGAGAATTTGGCGCAGGCATGAAGAATGAACATATTCATGTGCACTGTTCCTGGTGGCATCAAGAGCTCATGTAGGACCCATGGGCACTGTTTGCATTGAAGCTGCTTTCATCTTGAATTCCAGGTCCGACGAAGCAACGTTGTTGACTGTGCCAAACACATGGCTTGGGCCACAGACCGCTTCTTTTTTGCAGCTCTCAAGCGTTCGCCGGGGCAGCTTCAAGCTGTTTTGAAGTTGCTTCAGGTAACTCTTGTTCTGAATTCGCACTATGGTCGCCTGACTACGGCGATCTTTCAAGGAATACTTTGCAACGTCAGGTAACCGCGAGACGTTGGCCCTCAAGTCCAGCGTGTCTTCTCTGCTAGGAATCAGTGCGGTGGTTCAACTTCGTACATTTATATCGCGTAAGAAATTGCCTGCCAAGGGCTCCTTCATCCACAAGATCAATTGGATGGCGTCCCTGGAGATGCTTACTTCTGCAGCCTTCTCAGAGGGCAGACGTTCGCTGGAGGGGGAAGGGGAGTGCGGGGATTTAGCCATTTGGTGTTAAGTTCAAGTGGCATGCACTGAAGTACGTACTGTTGTATCTGCAGCCTCAAGCTGCATTGTAGAGACACTTATGCATACACGTCATTACTGTTGCTTGCTACCGATCCGTGGAGACCACTATGCAGGTGGAGGGCACGGAATCGGTATACTTCTGGTCGCCGTTTATGGCTTGGGAGTCTTGGCTTTTTTAGAATTCTCCTGGCTGTTTTCCAAAACCTGTTCCTGCGATTGCTTGCTTCTGCCCAGGAAACAGCACGCGTGGCCGGCATCCTAGTTTTTGGCATGTGTTCCCCATCACATGCTCGCAGTTAAGTTTTTTGCACGCTCAGCCGCCTCAACAGCCGCCTCAACAGCGATGTATCTGCATGGGAAAGGTCACGCCCCAGTTGCCACCCGACTTCTACGACGAGAGGCAGAAGCTTGCGCCCAAGTTGCTGCGGTATGCGGTGAGTGATCCGACTCCTGTAGTTTCCATTTTCTTTCCCATCATTGCTATATAACCCCCTATATATTCCCATATTTCCTTCTAACCACGGTATTTTTCTATGATAGTGTATTCGTTTTTCCATGTTTTTCCATTATTTGTATAGAACCCAATCAGCTGGCATTTGGCTGAGGCCCCTCTGGACAGTTCATGCCGTTGCCTGGGATAACGACTCTCAGGACATCTGTAAAAATACGGGTGGGTCCCCACCCTGTGATAGTGGTAGGAATATTAGAGGACCCTGACATAGTTATTATCATCCCTCAGAGTCCCTACGACAGGGTGGGGGTCCACCTAATGTATTCTAAAATATGCTGCAAAAGCGTCTCATGCTGATGAGATATGCCTCATTCTGATGCTGACATCGAGAATCTCCTCTATACCCTATTATGATATAGCCATTCTCTCTTCCATTCTTCCTGGATAAGCCCCATGTAGCCTATTAGAGTATACTATTTTCGATTTTCTTTACCATAATTCTTTTACTGGCAGCCCGACTTTGGTTCAGGACTTGGTGGCTTTGCTGAGCAATCGCTTCCTGATCTTCTGGCGCCTGCGAAACAGGGACAAGGCTAGATCTGGAGCTCAAAGACAAACAGCAAACAGTTGTTTAACTGGGTTGCTGTTGAGGAACTTAATTTCAGTTACTGTAATAAGGAGCAAGCAGCAAGCAGCTTGTTGTTTATGGTGTAAAGACGTAAAGAGAGCCGCTTGGTCTTCACATCATTGTATACTGCAGCAGTCTTCAGTAAAGAAACATTTCTTCCACAGGTACAAGACTCCTCAGCTGTCATTTCTGCTTGCTTGTTCAGCCGTACTGGAATGGTTTCAAGCTCCCAGGGCCAGTTCCAGCAGAAGAAGGAGTTCCGTTTCCACGCCACGCGTCGGGAGGACGCGCCAAAGAGCACTTTCGCAAATTGGTGGTGCAGTCACGCAGGGCCAAGGGCCAAGGCTATGTTCACGTGCTAACCCTGAACAGTGTTTCAGCTCCAAAGCCAGTGGGGAACTCTAAAAATCAGCCGTCTTATCGCAGGGCCGGAACTCATCTGAGCACGAGATCAGCCAATGGAAGGCGGGCACATTGGGTTGCTCCACAGGCTGCATTTACGCCATCTGCCAAGATACTACTGCGAGGTCCACCTGCGTACACTTGACCCGAAGAACGGGGTCCCGGGCTTGTTGCAGTGCAGCTACTGATTTCATGTGAGGTTTCAGCCCTTTTTACTCGCTCGAATATAGGCGGCCACTAGAGGTGTCCTTAATCCCCGTTGAATCATTGGGTCGTGCCTAGCTCTATCGACTCAGCCGGAGTGAGCCAATTTATTCATGCCCAGCATCCGCGTGCAAGCTTGTGACTCCAAGCTTGAAGTCCGGAGAGTGTGCCGCATTTGAGGACGAGCTGTTCCAGGACACCGCTGGAAAGGAGCCACAGCACAGACACGGACAAACGGGTGTAGTCAGTAGGAGACAACAGGTGCACAGGTGCCGTCCTTGCTTGTGTGCCGTACTGTAGGTCACAGCAATGACCACAACCATGCGAATTGCAACTTTGCAAAAGAGTTTAAACTGTGTGAAAGTTGGACTGCGGCGCTGCGCCCTGCGCAAGGAGCCTTCGGAAGCAGGAGCAAGGCGTGACAAGCGCGAAGAGCAGCTGGTCTTTGTTGAGTGGTTTGGGGCTACCGCTGGAGCATTCGGATCATTCTTCTCACTTGCCACGTGCATGTGCATGTGTATGCTCGACTGATGTAAAAGATTGCTTGATGCCTTCTGCTTGGATCAAAACGTCTCCACCCTGCAGTGCCATGTTTGCCAAGGCGCTTCGCAGCAGAAGCATCCCAGCAGTTGGACATCTGGTGGAGCGTCAGCGCCTTGAAGAGCTGTTGTGAGCCGAAGGAATTGAACAGCTGTGCGCACCCTGAAGCCTGGGCAAGTTAAGACGAATGTGTGAGCCAAAGCCACCGGGTGCCTCGAACACGCTCTGAACGTCCTATGCCTCAGCCCCATGTTGCAGAAGAGCCTTGCTCAAGGTTACGAAGGCTTGAAGGGAGTACCGCAGTGAATCTTACAGGGAATTTTGATACCGCAGAAAAGGAGCCTCCCAAAGCAAACCCTAACAGAGGTCCTGAGGAAAGTATAACGGCCTGTGCTGCGCCGCATAGTAGAGGGATTCCTTTACTTGTAACCTGGTCACGGCGTTGCATCTTGCTTTACTTCAACCCAGCTGGCAGCCTAGGCAAACGGCAAACGAGCATCAAGAATCACTTAGACTTCCAGCACATTACTTAAGATTGGGCGCGAGGCAAGCATGAAGTGCTGGGTGACGGCTGACTACAACGGAAGGCGCTGAATGCTGCCGTAAAAGCTGCTCTTTGTGGACAGATTCGATGTCTTCAGCCTCAGATTGAAGCAACTGCACTTGAAGGCTGCTGTTGTGGGATCTTCGTGAACACAGCATTGCTACCTCAATTGCACCAACAAAGGCACGTTGGAGGGTGGAAGATACATGTCAGTCAAGCGTACCTCTCTGGTGATCTTTCTATGTGCAGCAGCTGCGCTTTGTGAGGATCCACTCTAGACGTGTATGCAGAGCTTACATGCCTGTTTTTATAAGTTGGGGCTGCCTACTTCCTGCCCTGCCGCGTGCACATTTTGACTTTCAGCTGGCTTGCAGGTCCTGCAAGCTCACGCGAAAGTGGCCACGGCTCCCAGTGCTATGATCGACTGCATAAGGCATGAAAGCAATTTGGGCATGAGTAGCGACTTCGCGATGTTGACGGACATTTGAAGCTCGCTAACTACTTTCAACTCCTGATTTGACACTAGGCTCGACACCCCCTCCTATCTTCAACTTTCAGAGACAGGAATGTCACACCAGTACCTGCTGCCCTCACCCAAGCCTTGGGATCTTGACCAAGATCACCACTTTCTTGGAGCTTAGCACCTTCAAGTTCACCACTGGCAGCCTTGATCGGTCTGTGCGGGCGCCGAGCTTTGTCCCATGCATATTTTTGTGCTCCCCAGCTACCGATCTTGACTGATCCACGCAGTTGTAGCTTCTAGGCATCTTAGGTTATCTTAGGTTGTTCGCATAGGAATTATTCCCTCCTTGCCTGTTGAGTCACACATCCGCGGGTTGGCGGGGGTTTTGGGGTTTGTTAGTTTGATGTTCATACTGGCGTGAGGGTGCGATGCCCTGGCGCCGCACTAGCTGGGGCAAGTAGGGAACAAGGGAATACCTATATTGGGAGTATTAAGGGATTATATTCCCTTATTCTCTACTAAGAACCCGTAAGCAAAATCATTGCCTGTCAAAGGTGTGTCTCTGGGACCATCGCAACCTATCTGGGCCAGAGGTGAAGTTGGAGGACAGCGAGAACACGAGCTTAAGGTTTATAGTCCCCCTT